TTTTTTTTATAACTGTAGTATGTATTAATAAGAAGGTAATTGAGACGGTTTTCTTGTCAAGCACAATAGATTTCAGTGACCATACAGAAATTAATTTTTGTGGCGATTGCCGACTTTTCATTTCATAATCTCTTATACTTGTATGGTGCGTCATGAATTTCCTTATCATGATACACGTGGCGTCTCACGAGTATTTTGTGTGTACATTTCTTTTGATAAGGAATACCTAAGGGGAGAATCACAAAAGAAAAGAATAAAATTTAAAATAATCGATAAGTAATCGGAGAATAATCGAAAAAATAATCGGAAACATATAATGAAAAAATTGCAAAGCAATAGCCACAACAACAATAATGTCCAGCAATTGCTTTAAATTGAGATTTGGTAGTTGTAATCGTCGATTCTGTGGAAGAGAATAAAAAAAATACTAGCTTACTATAGAATAGTACTTCTGGGTCTGCTGGTCACTACCTAGATACATACAATAACAGAGAAACAAACAATGAACATAAATTGCAGTAGATGAAATGAAATTGATTCGAATTGAAACATACCCCCCCGGGAACGACCGCAGATACATTTCTTTAACTTTATGCTGCTTGATTACGACGATTCGCATGATTCGGTCGATTTGGACGGATCACACGATCGGGATTTTGTTGTCTATAGGCTACAGCACTCATATTGAAAACAGGATTTATTGGAATTCCACTCAACATACACTTGGCTTTATAGATCATATTGCGTGAAGCGTTATGGTCACGATCCATAACCACGCTTCGAATTCGATTCGGATTGTCGGCTGGCGTTTCAAATGTTCGTGTTTTTGGTCTTGCGCCAACTACTGGAATCTTCTTTCTATAACTACGATGTGTTTTCACAGTGTACTCGCGTGGAACTGGGAGAACAGCATTCCGGCCCGATTCACAGTTTTGGCAAACTAGGAAGCTTTTTATTTGTACATTGGAAACAAACGACAAAAGAAAATTTACAATGAATTTCATGTTTTCGGTTTTGTTTTTGTTTTTGTGGTCGTTTTTGACTCAGTACTATGTATTAAATCATTAACTTACCGATCCTTAATGTTATGTCTCGTAAATCCTTTTCGTACTCTTACATCAATTGGTCTTTGTGTCATCTGTTGACACCTACTGCAATACATAGATGTACCTCTCTCATTGATATCAATTCTCATTGCATACCTGTGGGCATACACATTGAATGTGTGAATGGAAATAATGCAGAAATTAGTAAACAAATACCGGGAAAACACAAATACAAAAACATATACATTCATACCGATCAATTGTGTGCGTAATCGCTGCTTCGGGTGTACGCAAATGGCCTTTAATTGGTGAATTGGCCGCAATTTTCGCATTTCCATGAGCGTATACGATGGTTTGTTGCTCACGCGGTATTTCCTTTTCCATTTGTGTAACTTCACGTGCAATTTGATGGGCCGTTTTTTGTGTTTGCACGTATTTATCGAATGTGAGTTTTGCCACACATGGCCGGTACTTCACTTCGCTTGCCGCTTGGAAAATATCCAGTTGGTATCTTAGATACAAATCGTAATTCAGACTACTCGGCGATGGTGTTTCGATATAAATATTACGATTTTCACGTAAGAGACGACATTCGTTTTCGTATGCACCAGTGTATTCCTTTAACTTTTTCTTTCTTTTGTGAGTTCCAACACGGTGGTGCCATTGTTTGGCCTTCAATCGATAACTTACTTCGGTTTTTCGATAACTTACTTTCGGTCCAAGTCGAGAGTATTAGCCGCTATTAAAACTTTTGCGCCGGGATCGTTGCCAATTATCTTTTTGATTTGGCCAGCATCGAATGCAGC